ACAAAAGTACTTACAGATAGTGCCTTGGACAATGATCTAGATTGTACTAGTGATATAACAGAGGCATTGCATGTACTGAAAACTGAAGAGTTCAAAACAAAAGAGGAAGATGACTCAGAGAATATAGAATTTGGTATGTCCTTTCCTGGTATAGAATCAGTTTCTATAGAGACATCTATGGAACCAAAAACGACTGAAACTTCTCACATGGAGGAAAGTACAGCTTCTGAGGAGAGCTGGGAGTCCATGTTTAATGATGATGGTGACTGCCTGGATCCACGTCTTTTACAAGAGGTATGTTTACTGGAAATTGCTTGATGCTTTGATAATTTGTAGATTCATAGAACTTGGGATTTTGGAGACATTTGTGTGCATTCACTGATTTACCTCCAATGTAAGGGTTCCTGCAATACACATAGGATTATAGATTGAGAAAAGACTATCTGGTAGATCTTTAAATAAAAAAAATAGGCAGAATTGAGTTATACTTATAACAGCCAAGTCCTGAGTGATTTAGTAAATAGATTAAAGATGAATTTAATGGATACTGGCTGGCTATTGAGGAATACAGAGGGAAACTTCTCAAAGGGGCTTTTCTGTGTTGACAAGATATATTTTACATAGGCCTATTTGAGGGGAGGAGGATAGTTTATTATTGTTTATTTTATTTTTCCAGTAGATGTTCAGATGTTTTTAGACACTGTAGAGTGAAAGAATTAGAGAAAGGAAGAGTAAAGTAAAGGAAGGTATGATTGTTTTTTAAGGAATTTATTTTGAGTTAAAGAATAAATGGTTGTGGAGTCTATATAGAAAATATAAGTGATAATGACATGTTGGCTAGTTAGAGTTCATAAATACAAAATGTTAGGTTTTTTGTATCTAAATAATTTATAAATTATTTAGTTTAATATTTTCATTTTCTTAATTTAGACAACATTTAAATTAACATAAATACAAACTACTCCCCTTTCATTCCTTATCGTGGTGAGTTCATATAACCTTTACCTGAAATGAAAAAAATTATTTCCCTATAAAATCCCCAATTTCATAAATGAGGAAATTGAAGTTTAGTGATCATACCTTTAGTAAAGGGAGAATCAGGATTACAGTCTAATTCTATCTTACTCCAATATTTATATTCTTTTTATCAGACCACTTCCTCACCTATAAAATAGAGTTTCGTTTGAGTGATTCCAAAGAGCCTTTTAAATACTGATGTGTCTTTTGTTTCTTAGAGTTAAACCAGAAGTACAGAAAAATAATCACACGCATGTGAAAGAGACACATGATACTGAAAAGGTCAGCCCATTGGACAGAATTGACTTTCCAATACCAAGCAGTTTCTTCTCACTCTTAGAATGTGTTTGCATGCACACCTACCTATACCACAGTTAGCACTTCTTATGGTCAAATCAGCAAACACTATCTTAAACATTCCTTAGGAAGAAATATAGAGCAGAAAGTACCTATGAATGGGCATTCATGAGCCCCTTGAAATTGCATGAAGTTTTTTATAGGTGTAGTTTTTCATAGCTTTCATCAGATTCTCAAAGACAATGGTTCCCATAATATGGTCCCTGGACCAACAGCATGAGCATCACTTGGAACATTGTTAGAAATATAAACTCTTTAGCCCATTAAGTGATTCTGATGCACATAAAATGAGAACCACTGCTCAAAGGTAATACAGAAACTTAAATGTATTTCAGAAAGTGAGTGTGGCAACTAGAAATTACTGTTAGCCCATAATTAGGAAAAACAACTGTTCAGAGATTTTAGAATCAAATTGGATTCAGAAATACTAATAATAGGGGAATTTGGGTGAATATAGAGAAGTTATTAAGGATCCACGCATTGGAAGGTGGTCTTAGTCTGAGAAAGGAAGCAGCATTCATAGGAGTTGGGAAAGGAAGTACCTGAGTGGGTAGAGAACATAGGTAGGTACACATAGAGAAAGGACAGCTTCCTACAAAAGAAGGGCATGGCACACGCAGCCTTTAACACATGGTAGAACTTGTTAAATATTCACTGAATGGATGTAGGCTATAGGGGAGAATTAGAGATCTCTTCCTTTTTAAGGTAGCCTCCAGATGCTTTCAAAACACAATTGATGCCCGGCTGGTGTACTTCAGTGGTTGAGCGTCAACCTATGAACCAGAAGGTCATGGGTTCGATTCCCAGTCAGGGCACATGCCTGAGTTGTGGGCTCGATCCCCAGTGGGAGCGGGCGCTGGAGGCAGCCAAACAATCATTCTCTCTCATCATTAATGTTTCTATCTCTCCTCTCTTCCTCTCTGAAATCAATTAAACAAACAACATAATTGCTGCTAGAACTTGGATTCTGTGTAGTAGCTTAGGGATACGGTTTTGTATCCAGGGGGCAGGGCAGTCAGGTGGGTCACTGTTTTTCAGGTCTTAACACTGTTTAGAATAGGTGCAAAAGAATGTAGGTAACTACTTAATATTTTCAGGAGCATAGTACTATAGCCAGAGAGGACACTAGCATGTCCTAAAGCTGGGAATGGCAGGAAAATGGAGTATGTAGTGTTTTAAGCCAAAGACAGCCAGTACCTGGGTGTTGTGTTTGGATATCTTCTGAGGTGCTTGATAGGAAGTGGATCTATGTTGAGGGATAAGGATGGATGAGAACAAAAAACGAATTGGAGAGATGGATTGAGAATGTTGAAGCAGATCTAACTTTAAACTTTGGTCTCCTGTGCTTTGGGTTTTAGAAGATGTAATAATATTAATGTTATTAAAAGATGTCAAATTCAATAACATTAACATTACTATTACACTTAATTTATTATTTGTATTACTCCAAACATACTTTATTAAAGGTTAAACCAGAATGTCTTCCTACCTTGAAAACTTTCCAACCAAAGTTGTTTGGCTCTTTTCCCAGCTGGCCTGTTTCTTTGTTGACAATGGCTAGACATATGGAGGTTTTTCTGATACTTCTAATAGGCAGGAAAGTATGCTGTACAGTAGGGTGTGGCAGCCATTGGCATGTGAAGCAGTTTCCTGTGATGTTTGAACCTCTAAAATTGCCCGAGGAGCATAGAGAGCATAGCTAGGCCATTATTGAGCTCCCAGAATTGCAACTCTTGATGAGTCTCTGTAGATCACACTTAATCTTCTAAAGCCATGGTATGGGATGCCCAGAGACTTACGTTGATAATTTATATAGAAAAGGATATTGGCATGATCTCTTTTAACCTTCTGAGTGTTGGTACAAGAACAAAGGAATTATTACTGTCTAAATAAAACTTCCTTAGCTTCTGTGCCTCTCTCTACTGATCGGCAAACTTATTGGTAGGAGGGTTAATATCTTTTGTTATTAGTTCCAGCTCATGTTAACAGACATATATTTGATTTTTTTTTAAGCCCCAGGGGGGAGTGAAGATATTTTTTCTATTGATGTTTAT